ACTTTCTTGGACACATTTAACAAATTCCACCCTGCCTGGGTAGCTCAGTCAATACTGGGGAAATTAAAATCTCCAACAAATACTACTCTATTATTCCTACAGGTATCTGCAATCTCTCTACACATCTGCTCCTCTAATACCTGCTGGCAATTTGGGGGTCTATAATACAGTACCAAAAGAGTGACCATCCTCTTCTTGTTTCTAAGTTCTAAGCATATGGCCTCATTTGATGACTCCTTAAGAATATCCTCTCTAAACACTGTTGTTATGCCCTCCCTTATCAAAAGGGCAACTGCCCTTCCTCGCTTACTTGTACTTCTGTCACGCCTGTAGCTTCTGCATCCTGGAACATTCAGCTGCCAATCCTGCCTTTCTCTCAGCCATGTTTCTGTTATGGCTATGATATCCCAGTCCCCAGAGCCAATCCATGCTCTGAGCTCATCTGCCTTAGCAGTCAGGCCTTGTGTGTTGAAATAATTGCACTATAAACCAGAAGTCTTTTCCCTTCCTTTACTGTGCCCCCGGATATCCTGAATAGTAAACTTGCTCTCGATGGCTAATGTATTTTCCCCTGACTTCTTGGTGGTTCCTCTTTTATTCAGAGTCCCACCCCCTGCCAAACTAGTTTAAACCCTCCCAGGTAACACTAAAAAATCTCTCTGCAAGGATATTGAACCCCTTCCAATTCAAGTGCAACCCATCCCTCTTGTACAGGTCACCTCTATCCCAGAAGAGATCCCAATGATCCAAGAACTGAAAACTCTGCCCCCTACACCAGCTCCTCACTCACGCATTCATCTGGCCTATCTTTCTATTTCTATCCTCATTGGCGCATCGCTCTGGAAGTAATCCGGAGATCACTACCCTTTTAACTTCTTACCTAACTCCCTACACTCATTTCGCAGGACCCCGTCCCTTTGTCTACTTATGTGCACATCGGTATAACTGACAATGATCTCTGGCTATTCACCCTCCCCCTTCAGAATGTTCTGCAACTGCTCAGAGACATTCTTCACCCTGGCACCCGTGAGGCAATGCACCAATCTAGTGGCTCTTCTGTGGCGTTACAATGGAGTTTCCTATCAGTATCGCTCTGTCTGACTGCACCCTTTCCCTCTGAGCCTCGCAGCTGGTCACAGTGCCAGTGACCTGCATGTTGCTGCTAGCTCCTGAAATGTCATTCCCCCCCAAACAGTATCCAAAGTGGCATAGCTGTTATTGAGCAGAATGGCCACAGGGGAATGCTGCACTATCTGCCTTCCTCCCTTACCTCTTCTGGTGGTCACCCAGCTACCTGCAGCCTGCACCTTAGGAGTGACTATTTCACTCTAGCTCTTATTAATGATGTTCTCTGCATTCTGGATGATCCTGAGTGCATCCAGCTCCAGTTCCAGCTCCAGTTCTGTAACACGGTCCATCAGGAGCTGCAGCCGGGCACACTTCTTGCAAGTGCAGCCACCAGGGACACTGGAAGTCTCCCTGATCTCCCACATCCTGAAAGAGGAGCATGCCACTGCCCTAACTGCTGTCCCTACTGCCTTCAGTCTACACAGAAAGAAAGTAGAGTTAAAGAGCCCTTACCCCGAATATGATTCACTGTTAACTACCTTTGAAGTGGCTTTGCAAGTCATTCAGTTCTTTTTAATCAAGAAGGCTGCTCTTGGCCACATTCTCAAAAGGATAAGAAATTCTGCAGTTACTGCTGGCACCCACTTTCTGTAACTTCAATTATGGGGCTACAAAAGGGAAAACTACAGCGGACAGGAAAAAAACTTCAGTAAACTTTGAAGACACAAGCCAGCAACACTCTGGTGAGTGACTACGTCATGTTGGAGGATCAGGGTACGTCACCAGTTTGAAGGAAAAACCCAGTCAGAAATTCCTCACTCAGATCAATCAGGCACGATAGTGCCTAGGCTAATGCTGAGGACATGGGATCAAATCCCACCAGGGAAGATGATGATATTAAAATTCAGTTCATCAAAATCTTGAATTGAAATCATGTCTCAGCGATGGTGACCATTAAAATACCATCGATTGTCAGACAAACCCAACTTGTTCATTAATGGCCTAGAGGGAAGGAGATCTGCCTTCCTTACCTGGTCTGGCCTACACGTGAATTCAGAACCAAATATTCTTACTGCTCTTGTGTCACGATTTGCCACCCATGTAATTCTAATAAGAATTTAAACCACTCTCAGTGTGCACGGGAGACAAGTGGGATGGCATAGTGGGGTGCAAATGTTCATTTATGGATTCTGCCATCATCTTGGGCTAGGGCTTTGTAAAGTTCTGAGAGCTGCAAGTGATGCAAAATGTTTGAATCAGGAGAGCACCCTGGAAAACAAGTTTGAATGTTCCTGCCTGAACTTGCAGACCAGTTCAAAGAGAGAAAACCCTTGTGATTCCCAAATTCTGCTAACTGGTCCCAAGAAGCTTGTATAGTCTAATAAATGCCGTCAATGGCCTTTGAGGGAACAAGCAATGGTACCTTAACACAATATCCTTTCTGCCTGGATGTCCTGCTTTGTGGAGACATTGATAAACTTATTCACACAATTTGAGCAATAGCCTGTGATATGCCACAGATAGAGCTCTAGAAATCACCACTGGTGAAAAAAAATTGAGCATTGCTGTCACCTGAAGAGCTCCTGGCAGGGGTTCTCTGGCTGCAGAGCTTGCTACATAATCCAGTGTCCATCTCCCTGGGCAGCCTCAGTCATCACTGGCATTGCCGCTCCAACAGTTATAGTTAGTTCATTCCTGCCTTGAGGGTACAATGTTGTACCAGTGTTCATTTCCTATGCTGTTTCTCTGGATGTTCTCCCATTGACACCTCAGTCACTTTCCCTGTCTTATTCCCAACAGTAGGTCAAGTTTTGTTCCTTCTCTAGTCGGTCCATCCACATACTGAATCAGAAAATTTTCTTGTACGCATTTAGCAAATTCCTCTCCATCCAAGCCCTTAACATTATGGCAGTCCCAGGCTTTGTTTGGAAAGTTAAAATCCTCTACGATCACCTACCTATTATTCTTACAGATTACTGAGATCTCCTTACAAATTTGTTTCTCAATTTCCCGCTGATTATTTGAGGGTCTACAGTATAATCCCAACATGGTGATCATCCCTTTCTGACTTCTCAGTTCCACCCAAATAACCTCCCTGGACGCACTCCCCAGAATATCCTCCCTCAGTACAGCTGTAATGTTATCCCTAATCAAAAATGCTATTCCCCCTCCTCTCTTGCCCCACTTCCTATCCTTCCTATAGCATCTATACCCTGGAACCTTAAGCTGCCAGTCCTGTCTATCCCTGAGCCATATCACTGTAATTGTTATGATATCCCAGACCCGTATTCCCAACCCTGCCCTGAGTTCATCTGCCTTAGCCGTTAGGCCTCTTGCATTAAAATAAATGCAGTTTACTTTATCAGTCCTTACTCGCTCTCTGCTTTATTCCTGCTTGCCTTGACTGTTTGACTTGCTCCTTTTCACAACTACACCAATTTGATCTCTTTTCACTAAAGTGCATTTATTTTTATGCAAGAGGCCTAACAGGGGACTGATATACTGGTGCAGTCCGTCCTTCTTATACAGGTCTCTTCTACCCTAGAAGAGATTCCAATGGTGCAAAAATGTGAATCCTGTTCCCCTGCACCAGCTCCTCAGCTATACCTTCATCTGTTCTATCCTCCTATTCCTACTCTCACGAGCTCTAACAATCCAGAATTGGGGATTGGTCAGTGTGGTGGGAGAAGTGGATAGGTGGTAGAGAAGACAGACAGAATGTGTCAGGTCAAGGAGGCAGGGATGAGCGGGAGACTTGGTCATGGGATGAGACGGCGGTGGGAAATTTTGAAACTGGTAAAGGCCATCTTTGCATCTCAACAATCTACAGACCCAGAAAATAGCATAGTCTTACTGCTGTTAAAACATTGGTCCAGGATAAGTTAGCACCTATGTTTCTTGGAGATAGCAAGAACTGCAGATGCTGGAGTCAGAGTCAATACAGTGTGGAGCTGAAGGAACACAGCGCGTCAGGCAGCATCAGAGGAGCAGAGGAGTTGACTTTCTGGGCCTAGACTCTTCCTGATGAAGGGTCTAGGCCCAAAACATTGACTGCCCCACTCCTCTGATGCTGCCTGACCTGCTGTGTTTCTCCAGCTCCACATTGTATTGACTTAGTACCTATGTTTTATATTTTTAAAGTTGAATCAAGAGACAGATCTCAATAAAACATATAATCAAAACAAAAACGATTCTACTCACTACGCTGACTAAAGGTGTAATGGGTACCTTTATACTGAAATATCACATAGCATGCTTTCATGTAACTGTCTTAAAGGCAGAAACCTGCCTGGCCTAGAATGTATGCCATCATACAACACTGACCATCCCCTCCCTTGGCGCTGCCTACTGCTGGCATTTGCAGCCTCAGCTGTTAGCCAGGAAGAACAAGGCTTTGCCACATCCTCACCTCCTGCTCCTGACCTCAACCTCTGTCATCACTTGGATCCCTCTTTCATTCCTTGACGTCCCGAAAGCCACTCCACATTAGCGGCCTCACTTCTAACTTGCCTTTGCTGACACGAAACTCTGTGCACACTGCCATTCTCCCGTTCCCCCCCATCACACAGCATAGTTCAACAAAGTAAACCACTGACCTCAACTGTATAAAGCCAAATGTAGCACATGATCATTCATGAGATTCTTGTGCAGCACTGATTTAATCTTCAAGGTAGGATATTATGACATGTGTTGATGTAATGAATATTCATGGCATATGAGTTTATTAACTGTACAAACCCATCACATATTCTAATAGGCCCATAAATACCACCAATGGTGCAAACTGCAAACTGAAGGATTTTTTTCAATATGGCACAAGGATAACTTAAGAATGATATTGAAATGCATAGATTAACTCAAGTTAAAGTTTACTTTACTTCAACATAGTCCTTCTTAAATTTAATTTTATGTAAAACTCAAAAAAAACTCACAGTTTTGAATAGTCTGGAGGATGCCTTGGTAGAGCTGCATTTGCTTTTGTATCAAGGCCCCCGGCAGTTCTGCAAATTGAAAAGGAAACTCATACTGTTTAGATAGATAATGGTTTATTGAAAAATGGTCGTGATGACAATGTGACGACAATACAAGTAGTAGTCATTATAATTTGTAACATTGTTGTAGATTGTCATTCTAATAAAAATGAAGCATAACATTTAAAAAATGCATTTTGCAACTTTCAGTATGCAAATAATATTAAGTTGCAAAATGCAGATCTCCATAATTTGCAGAATAAAAATGAAACCTTTACTGCTCTCTATAATTTGCTTTAAAATCCATAGATCATATATTGTCAGTGAGTCCGTTAAATTCTCAGTCATTTATATGGCATTTGTGAGTTTTGTAAAATAAGAGATTGGACTGTTTCATAGCCTATCTGTTCCAGGTCTTATTTACAGAATAATCTTTACAGAATAGTCTTTTTGCCTTAATTCAATCACACATTTACTTTTGTATGATTGTAGCAAGATATAGTGGCTATGAGAGGGGGAATGTTAGAGTTTTCTCACAAAGTTCATAGAGAGCTTTTTCCACCTTTTATCAAGTGAATACACGCTCACTTATATAATAATATGTATTGTACACACCATTGCCAGCAACAACAACCCCTGGTTAAATATTTACAGCCCTTTCAGAGTCACTGTATCATGGCACACCTCTTGAGCCTCAAATCACTTGAGAATGCATTGTTTTCTGATAATTAAACGGTGAAAACTGAAACCAAGCTGCCTAGCATCACTGGGGTTGTTCTGTAATCAGTAGACCAGTATTATGAACCAACACTTATATAGAGTAGATACTGAAACTCAATTGTGTGAAAATTCATCAACTTTCATACTCAAAAATCTTCTGCAAGCCCCCATCCCTCCCCATCTTTGAAATCACTTCCAGTCCAACAACCCTCTTCAAAACACTCTTTAAAACTGACCTGTTTGACCAAGCATTTGCTGCATATCTTAATAACTCCATACATGGCTCGGAATACAATAATGCCTGATAATATGAAGAGCATTTGACTGTATTCAGGATGCTATATAAATGCATGTTTTTGTTATACACAGACACTTCTCCACATCAATATTATTATTCAAGTTCTAAAAAGTATCTATAACCATATGTACTTTTGGTGGTCGTGGGGAAGGTGGATGAGATAGAGGGAAGTTGTTCAAATGGGATGATTAGGATGAACTTTTTAACATTTTTTTAAATTCAGAATTCTTCCAGCAATTGCTGCCAAATTATCCACCACATTGATATAAGCATTTCTACAAACTGCTTTATTCTGGCAGAATAATCAAATGACACAATCACACAGCGCTATCGTAACCAGCAATCCAGACCCTAAATCTAGCCAGTGCATCCAAGAAAATGTTGCTCCCTTCTGGGCACAGTACAAATTATAGTGGGAGTAGTCATTCCTACCAGCAGTTTCTGCTATTTTGTATTGGCTTTATGAGTGCAATCTGTCTAAGAGCAGTCAAAACAACAAGGAATTTCAAGTGTAAATTATGACCGGTGTAAAATCAAGTTTTTTGAACTGTTCTCCAGGTTTTAAAAACTAGGACAGGATGATATCTGTATCTACAAACATGTCTGGATTGCAAACCATTTAGAAGATTAGCCTTGGGCGACTGTCTGTGTGGAGTTTGCACATTCTCCCCGTGTCTGCGTGGGTTTCCTCTGGGTGCTCCAGTATCCTCCCACAGTCCAAAGATGTGCAGGTTAGGTGGATTGGCCATGCTAAATTGCCGGTAGTGTTCAGGGATGTGTAGATTAGGTGGGTTATAGGGGGATGGGTCTGGGTGGGATGCTCTGAGGTTCGGTGTGGACTTGTTGGGCCGAAGGGCCTGTTTCCACACTGTAGGGTTTCTATGATTCAATGATGATTCTATGATTTTTCACCGTGAGCTGGTAGTTTTCAATGCACAGACACAAGTTGGCCCATTTTGAAAGCTTTTAAATGTTAAAATAAAAATTGTTTTACCAAGAAATTGCCTTTCAAATTAAGCCAGTAAATGGTTCAATATGTTTTGTTTGAAAGTCATTTTCAGTGATTTTAAATTTGGATACTGACAAGACATTGATTTAAAATGCTCATTTTAGTGATAAACCCATTTATCAAAATACACTAGATTATCAATCTTTAATACATCAAGGAATATTCTTCAAAGCAAAGTTAAAAAGGTAACAATTCTGTACTGTCACTGCAGCCCAATTTCACTGGTTCATGGACAATTTTACCTGCATGATAATGAAAATGAGTTTGAGCTGATATTTAAACTATAACTTCACTTTACAAATTACAATTCAGTGTTTGCCTAGCTCTTCAAGTGCACTCAAAACAGAAATTCTATCTCATGCATGGGAAGGAGTCTGAAGGCATTCACATTTGATCAAGGGATATGGATATGGTGGGCTAGGACAGCATTTATTGCCTATCCCTAATTGCCATTGTGATATGAGATGTGCAATTTATATACATTTTAATATCATTTATTGTTGAGTTCAGAGTTACGAGTGTGAATCAGTGGCATATGGATTTTATGAAAGGATTTAATGAATATCTTGTCAGTATTGTTGTGGCCATAGTGACTTATTTTAATAACATCCTGGGGAGTCATGGGGTTTTGTTTACATTGGGAAAAATTTACAGGTAAACAATGTAAACTATTGGGCATCAAATTCAAGTTTAGATTGTCAGGTTTTGCTTTCTTTTGATTAGGGGAAACACCCATTGCTTTTCTTTAAAAGAAATTCAGAAGGTACAGTTCTGACGGGGTTTTAGCTGATGCTGGATTTGTAAGGCAGTAACTCCTAAGAAAGGGAGAAGTTAAAAATAGATTACCTTTCCAGACCAGAAGGGTTTAGTTAAAACACTGAAGGTGTTATTAGAAGCGGAGAAAACTTATGCTCAGTTATGTAACATATCAAGGAAGAAGCTATCAGTTTCTCCTGACGAGGAATTGAAGCCACAGCTGAATCATATACAATGTGGGATAGAAAAGGACATTCTCTATGATGTTTGAGTACTATAATAGGATGCTATGGGATTGATGGGATTGCATTTTTACTGTGTGTTTCAAAATCTTTAAACACATGTTATACATAAAATGTTTGCTTTTTTCCTATGTTCATTTCTTTTGATTACTAATCTTCTCTTGGTATTGATAAAAACCAAATCTGCATCATTGTGTGCTTATGTTTCAGTGAGAAACGACCACATTAAAGCAAAAATAAAAACAAAATATGATCTATTAAGCCAGATTTCAATCTGGCAACTTCCTTGCCCAGTAATGCCATCAGCATGGATCATCATAGTCGAGAAGGTGGTGGTGAGCTGCCTTCTTCAATCACAGCAGCGGATGTGGTGTAGGTACACTCACTATCAGTAAAGGGACTTCCCAGATTTTGACACAGTGACAGTGAAGGTAAGGTAATATTGTTCCAACTCAAGATGATGTGAGGCTTTCAGGATAACCTGCAGAATGTGTTGCTTCCATGCATCTGCTGCCTTTGTCCTTCTACATAGCAAAAATATAGTTGTTGGTTAATTGATGACATTGAAATGTGTTGCAGCCAAGTCAGAATCAACACTGGCTACATTTGTTACTAAAACAGTCATCAAATAACTTTCAATTTAAGGTTAAAAATGGTTATGAACAATTTCATGTTGCAATTAGTGCGACTGTCAGAGGGGAGATGCCTGGGCCAAGCTCAACATAAGTTGGAGTATAGAAATTAGCCTGCTGAATTAACAGAAGAAGGGAAAGGTTTTCAAGTGGCCCATGCCTGAAGGCAAGGAGCATTTGCATCACCACCAAAGACATCTTTCCCTCCCCACCCTTATCTGCTTTCCGGAGGGACAACTCTCTCCGTGACTCCCTTGTCCGCTCCACACTCCCCTCCAGCTCCACCACACCCGGCACTTTTCCCTGCAACCGCAGGAAGTGCTACACCTGCCCCCATACCTCCTCCCTCACCCCCATCCCAGGCCCCAAGAAGACTTTCCACATCAAGCAGATGTTCACCTGCACATCTGCCAATGTGGTATACTGCATCCGCTGTACCCGGTGTGGCTTCCTCTACATCGGGGAAACCAAGCGGAGACTCGGGGACCGCTTTGCAGAACACCTACGCTCGGTTCGCAATAAACAACTGCACCTCCCAGTCGCGAACCATTTCAACTCCCCCTCCCATTCCTCAGACGACATGTCCATCCTGGGCCTCCTGCAGTGCCACAACGATGCCACCCGAAGGTTGCAGGAACAGCAACTCATATTCCGCTTGGGAACCCTGCAGCCCAATGGTATCAATGTGGATTTCACAAGCTTCAAAATCTCCCCTCCCCCTACCGCATCCCAAAACCAGTCCAGCTCGTCCCTGCCTCCCTAACCTGTTCTTCCTCCCACCTATCCCCTCCTCCCACCTCAAGCCGCACCTCCATCTCCTACCGACCAACCTCATCCCGCCCCCTTGACCTGTCCGTCCTCCCTGGACTGACCTATCCCCTTCCTAACTCCCTACCTACACTCACCTTTACTGGCTCCATCCCCGCCTCTTCGACCTGTTTGTTTCCTTTCCACCTATCCTCTCCTCTATCCCTCTTCTATCCGCCTCCCACTCTCTCCCTATTTATTTCAAAACCCCCTTCCCCTCCCCCTTTTCTGATGAAGGGTCTAGGCCCGAAACGTCAGCCTCTCTGCTCCTGTGATGCTGCTTGGCCTGCTGTGTTCATCCAGCCCTGCACCTTGTTGTCTCGCATTTGCATTGAAATGGTTTCACTTTGCAAATTTAGTTTCTTGGATAAGTGGAAGAAAATTAAGATTTGGAAACTTACCTGCTACAATAATTTCAAACTGATTGAGTACAGTAATTTAGAGTCAGAGTTTCGAGTAATACAGCATGGAAACAGGCCCTTCGGCCCAAACTGGTCCATGCTGCCCACTCAGGTAGCTCCAATTGCCTGTATTTGGTCCATATCCCTCTAAACCCTTCTCATCTATGTACCTATCCAAATGTTTTTTTTAAATGTTGCTACTGTACCTCAAACACATTCTCCTGCAGCCTTGTCCATATATGCACCACTCTCCGCATGAAGAAGTTGCCCGTCATGTCCTTCTTAAATCTATCCCCTTGCACCTTAAACCTATGCCTCTAGTTTTCAAGTCCCCCTCTCTGGGAAAAAGACCATATGCATTCACCCTATCAACACACACACACACACACACACCACCCCGTCCCCCCCTGTCCACCTGGGATGCTGCTTTCAATGAACCATGTACTTGTATTCCTAGGCCCATCTCTTCCACAACACTCCTCAGGCCCTTACCATTTACTGTATAAGTCCTATCTTAGTTTGACTTTCCAAAATGCAACACCTCACACTTATCTGTATTGAATTACATTTGCCAGTCCTCAGCCAATTCCCCATCTGATCAGGGTCCCTCTGAAATTTTTGATAACCTTCTTTGCTATCAACGATACCTCCTGGTTTTGTATCATCCGCAAACTCACTAATCATGCCTTATACATTCATATCCAGATCATTTAAGTAAACAAGAAATAACAAAGGTCCTAGCGCCGACCCCTGTGGCACACCACTAGTCACAGGCCTCCATTCTGAGAAACAATTTTCAACCATCACCTTCTGTTTCCTACCATCAAGCCAATTTTGAATCCAATTAGCTAGCTCTCCTTGGATCCCATGTGATCTAACCTTCACGGCTAGCCTGCCATGCGGGCCCTTGTCAAAGGCCTTACTAAATTCCATATAGACAACATGCACTGCCCTACCCTCATCTATTCTCTTGGTTACCTCTTCGAAAAATTCTAAAAGATTTGTTGACATGACTTCCCGTGCACAAATCCATGCTAACTATCCCTAATCAGATCTTGACTAACCAAATATTAGTTGATCCTGTCCCTCAGTATCATCTCCAATAACTTGCCTACCACTGATGTCAGACTCACTGGCCTGCAGTTTCATGGCTTATCTTTGCTACCTTTCTTAAACAATGGAACAACATTAACCACCTTCCAGTCTTCCAGAACTTCACCAGTTGCTAAAAATGAAACAAAAATCTCTGCAAGGGCTTCTGCAATTTCTTCCCCAGCTTCCTACAACATCCGAGGATGGACTTGATCAGGCCCAAGGGATTTATTCACCTTATTGCGCTTTAAGGCCGTAAACACCTTCTCTCTGCTAATGTGTATGCGGTTCAAAACATCCCCACTTGTTTCACATATTTCCTTCGTATCCATTTCTCATTTAACTTTGTAGATGTGTTCATGGGAAGTCCAACTTTAAGAGAATGTAAACAAAAAGTTCTGATTAGTAGAAAAGCTGCATTTAGCTTCCATTGAACCTTTCTTGTCAGAAAACGCTGGAATATTAAACTCTTAAGGTGAAATACCGTGCACGCTGAAATTCATAGATTTGTAAATGAACTTTTTTAAAAATTAAGAATATGTAATAATATATAAAAGAAATACGCCAACTCTTTTTACTTACTTAATGCTTGCCCCCACTCCCGTAAGCCAGCTCCTCCTTTGAGCCAACTCTTCCCCCATTCCCTCCCTAACACTTTTCCATTCGCCTAGCCTCTCGCTCACTGATTCTCCCACTAGTGGGCTCTTCTGCCCGCTAACTCACTCCCATTTGCTGACTGTCTCCTGCTCCATCCTGGTTCTCTCCTGTTCGCTGATCATCCTGCTCACCAGCTCTCCACTCGCTGGCCTGCTCTCTTACTAGCCATTTTCTTTTCCCGCTCACTTTCCAATCCCTCCTTCTTCTACTGCTAACTAACTTTCCTGCTGGCTGACTCTCTCCTGCTCCTTACTCAACATGTTCTCCCTCCGCAATTCTCAACTGCTTCCAATAGTCTGTCATCTATTGATTCTTTCCCTCCCCAGCTCACTGCTGCTCAAAGCCTGGCTGACCCTCCCATCTGCCAGCCTTTCACAGTCATTCATTCTCTCCCACTCCTTCGCCAATGCTCCCCCACTTGCTGACCTTCCCACTTGCCAGCTTTTCCCACTCACCAACTCCCTCCTGTTCCATTTCCAACTCTCTCCTATTGACTGATGCTGTCACTGGCCAACACTGCTGTTGGCTGACATCTTCTGCTGGTCAATCTTCCTACTTGCTTCCTCTCCCGCTCATTGTGTCACTCGCTGCTTCCTTCTCCTGAACCCCCAAAGTAAGGAAACAAGCAAGGGAATGAGAAAAGCTACGAGTGTGTCTGGGATAGAAATGAAATACTGTGCCAAGTCGTTCCTGGCTTGCTGTTGCCATGTAATCTCGAACATAAAGTACTGATTGGGGGAGGGAGTTCATTTTGCAGCCAGTTTTCAATAAAGACAGTGTAGACCACATTGTTGTCCTCTAAGCTCATAACATGGTGTTAAAGTCAAGCTGAGATTGAGTGTTGAAGTGCTGTATAGAAATGCAGTTACTGACAATGAGACAAAGCAATGTTCAGAGCTGTGAAAGTTGCCACTAAAAGCAGTTGAAGAGCACAATGCAGGTACAGCACAATAAGCTGAATGGCCTCCTTCTGTGCAGTAAGACTTCAGTGATTCTGTGAATATGTGACTACTTTAGCTCATCTCATAGAATCCTGTGCAAATACAAGATAACCTAATTCTAATCAGGATTATATTAGGCATAAGAGATCCTTCAGGGAGAGCACATCCACTGAGAGAGGAGAAGCGTACTCTCAGGAAAGTAACTGAAAAGGTTGAAAATCTGAAGCTCCAGCATATTCATGGCAGAAAAGACCAGACCTTTCATTACATTGATTGACATTCTGGGTCCAAAGGGCAGAACAATCATGGACAAAGGGCAGGATGCAAATACTGCAGGGAACATCAAACAAAGGGAAAGAAGGCATTTCCAATGTGTGGAAGTCAGCATTCACACTGCAAGAAGCTGAATTATCTTTATCACCTGTGTATAAAATAAAGTCACCATTGTTGCCAGGGAACCATAATGCTGCTGTCTCAGAAAGAGATTTAACCTGAAGGTCACCACAACTCAGGCAAGGGGCAAAATTGAGAAGATGGGACTTTCATGGTAACCTCAGAGAAATAAAACCCTACCAACCCCCAGCCCTGCCCCGCCACTGTTGGTGTCAATCTGCATTGCAAATCAGCCATTCAGCCAACTGAGCCTAGCTATGGCTAGAAGTAAGTAGGAAGAAAATGTTATTGGAGAGACATTTCTGAGAAATCACTGTACATCATACGAAAGATTGGTTCAGTCAGGTCAATGGGTGAGATGTAGTTTGTAACAGTCGGAACAATGACTGCTGAAGGAGACCATCAGATCGGTGTAAAGATGGACGGCTACTCCAAAATGGTGCGGACAGGTCACACAATACTACATTGGTCATGATCTGAAACAATGGTGTAGCAGAAGTCTTGACTCTAAGTGCTCACTTAGCCCCATTTTATCTGTGATGCTAAAACAGATAGAATTGATATTGAAATCCATAACCACATCGCCACCTACTGACATAACTACTATGAAAGATATTGTTATATAATTCTACGTGTAACAACTTGCAGTGAAACACGCCAAGTCACTTCAGAAGAATGATTATCAAACAAACGTTGACACCCAGCCATGTCAAAACATTAGCACAGGTATTGTAAAGAAAATAAATTGCCTCATCGTGTTTATAATTTATCAACACAGATGACTACACTTGAAAATTTCATGAAAACCTTTTAGATTAAATTAGTCAACTGTAGCATTCTCTCAACATCTTACCTCTTACGAAGTTCTTTTGCAGCTGTTTTCTGATCCATTAATGGCATTTTTTCCCTCAGTCGATAATCCTCCTTTAAACTAATTTGAGACATGAATGCTTCGGATGTGGTGCTCCAGTCCTGCAACAAAACACAGTCAGACTTTAATTTCATATGCTTCTTCCAACACTGAAGAAACTAGGGGTCCCACAAAATCGCCACTAAATCCCAAGATCGGTGTTAATACTGACCAGCAGAAAGGAACACAGGAGCAGCAGGATGTCCTCCAGTCCTGTAAACCTGTCATTCTGTTAAAACGTGGCTGATGTGTATCTTAACTCCTTCTATCCACCTTGGTACTGCAACCATAAATATCTTTAACCAGCAAAAATCTTGTCAACCACAATTTTTTTAAAATCGGCCCAAAGCCTCAAAAGCTTTTTGGGGTGAGACAGTTCCAGGCTTCCATGAGTCCTTGAGCAAAGAAGTGCTTTCCTATTTGGTACCGAAAGTTCTTCCCAGTTAAACCCAACAAAGAGTGGGAAATTGAAAAAATGTTAACGGGATTACTCTGAATTGATGCTCACAGCAAAAGCAGCTTAATCTTGAGAAATTACGAATATGTATGACTACACACAACGGCGTACATTTATCTGCATTTTCAATGTAGCGGAATCTCCAAAGTAATTTCACAGGAGTGGTTATTGAATAAAATCTGACAATGAGCCAAATAAGGTGATTATAGGGCAGTTAACCAAAAGCTTGGTCAAAGAGGTAGGTTTAAGAAGCGCCTTTTATTGGAGGAGGGAAAGAGAAGGTCTGGAAAGGTTTAGGGAATTTCAGAATTTAGGGCTGCAGTAGCTGAATGCATAGATACCAATGGAGCAGTGAGTGGAACCAGAAATGTCTGAGTGGCCAGAATTAGAGGATTGGAGGGATCTTGGAATGGAATAGTGCTGAATGAAATTATAGAAATGGGGGAGGGCAAGATGTCAGGGCTCAGGGTGGAAGCAGTATTAATCATGGGGTCAGCAATTATGCAGTTCATTGGAGGGGTCAGTTTCCTTATTACTCCAGGAGAAGGAGTAGGTTTTCAGTCCTCTATGTTTTCCCAGTAAATATTCAGCTTCAGTGTGTCAAAAGCCTCTGAAGACTCCCATTGTAGCTCAGAGTTCAGAGGGTTCTAGATGAGTGTTCTTTCTAAGCTGTGTGGCTGCCGCCACTCTAAGGTTTTGCACATGCTGGTCGGTGCGCTGGCACATTGACTTCTGGTTTTGGAAGTCGCTGTCAAGCACGGTGGTTGGGACACACTGAGTAAAAATACTTTAGAAGGAGCATTGTTCCAGTTGTCAGGCAATTGGCCCAAGGAAATTTTAATTTCCCAGACAATTTCTGCAGAGTTAGCTATGTTGGGATTTCTGCATGGTTCTGATGTTCACCTCCTCTTCACTGGAATTTCTCGGTCATTGTCATAGAGACTTTGTGGAGAACCAGATCACCCCAGTGGATGGTGCTTATGGCTCTCCTTAACATTTCTTTCAGACATATATCTAGGGATGACCTTTGTTTAACATCTTCTGCAAAAGTTAATACCACCAACAGTGCAGTATTCCTCAAAACTGCACTGGGAATGCCAGCTGGTTTATATGCTCAAGTTTTTAAGACTGGGAATTGAATACTCAATATTCTAGGTGCAAGTTTACTTCTATGAAGGCGAATAAGTCTTGAATGAATTATAATCTCATCCTAAGACCCCAGGGTGAGAAATTCTGCCCACTGAGCCATGGAGGGAAAATTCGAGGTCAGATTATCTCCAAGGTCACAGTTTACTCTCTAATATTTCACATGCTGCATCAATTCGAATTTCATTGCATCTTTCAAGGTTCTTCCTAAAAATAGGGAAACCTTGTTTAATCAGGTTGAATGGACCAGTTTGTACCAAAGGCATCCTGCTACCTGTCATCAATCAGCTTGGACGCCTATGCAATCCATCAGTACAACAAGCTTTGCCAAAATCTATTTTGAGACCTTTCAGTATAGGAGTTGGGACATGACATTGAGGTTATACAGGACGTTGGTGAGGCCTCTTCTGTAGTACTGTGTGCAGTTCTGGTCACCCTGTTATAGGAAGAATATTATTAAACTGGAGAGGATTCAGAAAAGATTTACCAGGATGTTGCTGGGAATGGAGGGTTTGAGTTATAAAAATAGACTGGAAAGACTGAGACTGTTTTCACTGGAGCATAGGGGTTAAGAAGTGACCTTATTGAGATATATAAAATCATGAGGAGCATAGATAAGGTGAATGACAGGGTCTTTACTCTAGGATGGGGCAAGTTCAAATTAGGGGGCATATTATTAAGGTGAGAGAAGAAAGATATAAAAACGACATGAGGGCCAACTTTTATTTTTTTACACAGAGAGTGATTCACGTGTGGAATGAACTGCCAGAGAACGTTTAAAAGACATTTGGATATGTTCATAAGCAGTAAGGGTTTGGATGGATATGGGCCAAGTGCAGGCAGATGGGACTAGCTTAGTTTGGGAACTTGGTTGGCTTAGGCTGATTGGACCGAAGGGTCTGTTTCTGTACTGTATGGCTCTGAGTCAAATGGTGGCTCCTGGCTTGTCAGCCTAAAAATAAAACTGAACAAAAATTACAAAGTAGAAACAAAGGATTCATTTAATAATCCAAATTAGTTGCTTACTCCTGGAGGAAAACTTGTAAACCGTTTGTACGTTGAGCGGTGTAAGTTTTTCCAGTATCCCTCTGGGATAGCATCCATATCATAATCTTTAGGTTCTGCCTCTCTGTGCTGATACCTGCAAAGGTAAAGACATTAAAACTCTTGTTAGGCCACAGTTGGAGTATTGAATCCATTTTTAAAATTATTCATTCAAGAGATGTGGGCATTGTTGGCTTTATTGCTCATCCCTATTTGCCCTGGAGAAGATGGTGGTGTGTTGTCTACATAAACCAGTGCAGTCCATGTGGTACATTCACAATACTGCCAGGAAGGGAGTCCCAGCATTTTCACCTAGCAAGCAGTGAAGAAACAGCAATATACTTCCAACTCAGAATGGGGTAAGAAGCAAAGAGGGTGGTGTTCCCATATATCTGTTGGCCCAATTCCTTCTAGATGGTAGAGTTCACGGGTTTAGAAGGTGTTCTCAACGTAAGCTTGGGCTCCAAACTCAGACATTTACAGCACTAAAGGAGGCCATTCAGCCCTTTATGTCTATTCCAGTCAACAAAGATCTGACTATATTGATCCCAGGTTCCAGCTTTTGGCCCATAGCCCTGAGACTCTAGCAACACAAGTGAACATCTAAACACAGCTTAAATGTTATGAGCGTTTCTGACTCCCACACTCTGGGCATGAATAAAATGTCTCCTCAACTCTACCTCTTACCTTAACTGTATGTCCCCATTTAGTGACTCCTCTAACCATGGAAAAAGTGCCTTCCTATGCATTCTGTCAATGTTGCTCTGTCTTATACATTTCTATCAGGTCTCCAAGGAAGACCATCCCAGCCTATCCTCATTTGGAAACAATGTCACAGCCTTGGTGACAGTGCAAAGGAAATTTTCTCCAATGGTACCTGGGATATGAGGGATTTCAATTATGTGGAGAGGCTGGAGTGTTCTCCTTAAGGCAGAGAAAACTAAGAGGAGATTTAATAGAGATGGGCAAAATCCTGAAGGACTTTGGTAGACCAAGTAAGGAGAATTTTTTTGGTGACTGGAGGGTCAGTAATGAGAAGACTCAGATTTAAGGTGATTGACAAGAAAGTCAGTAATTTCTTGTAATCTTGAACATGTTGCCCAGAAGTTGTTGGAATCAGATTAAATAGTATCTTTCAAATGGAAATTGTCGGGTATTCTATGGGGAAAATACTGTTGTTGAGAAAATAGGAGTAATCTGATCTGTTTTACAGTTAACACTGGCAGAATGGGCCAAACAACCTCTTTCATTGTCCCCATGCTTCCCCATGATTCATGATGTATATTTAAAATACAGTTTAATTTGTATGATACCTAATCATAGTGATTAGATTTACACCATGTGAAAAGCATGCACATAAGCAGCGGACAGGGGCAACAGTAAATGGAGTAAGCAGAAGCTGAAATGCAGCGCTAGACAACAAACACTGACTGATCCAAAGGACCACTGGGACAGCACTAGAGAAATGGTTAACCTGGGTCAGAAAGATGGCAGCCACACTGAAGAACTCTTCATGTCATTTTCTCAGTGTTCAAGGATTGTTTATTCATCGCTTCAACCAAGACAACACCGAGGGACAAGACAAGAAAGCAAGTCCCAAGAACTACATTTGCTGGTACGGGGATTGTAGCTGCACTGTTAGTGTTGTAGAGAAGAAATGCACAGAGAACCTCAAGGAGTCAGACCTGTCCTGTTTCTCACAGGTAGTAGGGGACCACCACAAAGTCAAAAAGTTGGGGGTATGAGTTTCACTCCAGAGTCGTGAGGACACAAGACCAAAAGACATAAGGCAAAGGAGCAGAAGTGGACCATTTGGCCCATAGAGTCTGCACTGTCATTCAATGACATCAGGTTGATCTGATAATCTTCAACTTCATTTTCCTGCCTTTTCCCCATAACCCTCGATTCCTTTACTGATTAAAAACATCTCTCTCAGCCTTAAATAATATATTTAATGACTCAGCCATGACAGCCCTTTGTAATAAAGAATTCCACAAATTCACTACCCCCTAAGAAAAGAAATTCCTCCTCACCTTTGTCTTAAATGTTCAATCCCTTATTCTGAAATCATGCCCTCCAGTCCTAGATTCTTTCATAAGGAGAAACAACTTTTCCACATCTATCCTGTCGATTCCCAAAGAATCACATATGTTTCAATAAGGTTACCTCTCGTTATGTTATATCCAATGAGTTCGGGCTCAATCTACTTACATTCTCCTCTTAGATGGTCCCTCCATATCTGGTATGATATGAGTGAACCTCAAGTCTAGGATGGCACTATCAGTGCAGTGCAGCACTGAAATAACAAATTGAATCAGTTCTGAAGAAAGGTCACTGGACTTGAAACCTTAACTCTGTTGTCACTCCGCAGGTGTTGCCAAACCTGCTAAGTTTTGCCAGCAATTTCTGTTTTTGTTTGTTTCAGATCTCCAGCATCTGCAGTTCTTCGTTTTATTATGTCAGTCTTCCATATTTGATTGCTTTCATTATCCTTGCTATTACTTAAGATAAGAAACAGGAATAGGCCATTTGGCCCTTCAAGCCTGTTCATACATTGCAAATACAGTAACTTCCTACTGTCTTATCTATGCAACAAAGATAATTGAATATTGCTTTGTAAAGCTAAGAGGGTAGTGGAGCAAACTGCATAATTATATATCCTCTACAATTCTGTGGCACTCCCACATAAATGATGGCAATGTCATTAGACCCAGTGCAACTTTAACAGCAAATAATGGCCCAATAAACAAACTGTCATTATGTACAAACAACGCTAACAGCACACACCACCTGTTCTCTGCCATGTCATCCCTCTCCCTCTTCTCCAAACATTTTGTGCCAACTTGACTTATAAACCCTGCTTAACTACTTCTTTGCCCTTATGATCACTTTAAGCATTAGCAGAGGAAAAAGAGCTGCAACATCCCAGAATAGTCAATGGTAATCTAGCAAAGAAAAAGTGCTTTAGAGGTTCCTTTATAAGTCTTTATGTTGGAGAAACTAGTCAACGTTTAATAAAACCAGAATTGATTTTGATCTCTTACCAGTTGCAGACCAACACAGGCCTGCTATATTCCTTATGACTTGAGCGGAGAGTAAGAGAACCCTTTCTATCTGGATAATCCACTTCAAAATTCCGACGGAGGTGCCAGTTTGCCCACATCGTGCTGCCTCACTAATCTTGATTGGCTTGTTTGCTCACACTCAAATTTCATCCACTGCTTTAACCTCTTTATTTCCCTGCACCCCTCTGTCTCACCTCACTCTTGTTGTGGTTTGCTCCTCTAGCCCAATAATTCCTCGCCACTTTATCAAAAAATGTCGTTTCTCAATTCTCCCTTAGTTAATTTTGTCTCTCCTGTCTTTTTCTCTCAGTTTGGTGCTCTCTCTCTCTCAATAATTGTCTCAGTCTCTCCAATCTCTCAGTTGTCTATCTTTCTGTCTCAGTTTTCTGTCTCACTTAGTTCTCTTGCTGTGGTTACCTATTTCTGATATCTTTGTCTCATTTGACAACTATCTTTCCCTCTCTCCTCCCTCGGTTTGATATATTTACAAGTCTAACTGTTAATAAAATTAGTTGCCCTCACTGTCTTATCTACTGTTATTTTGCCTTTTCGCTGTCTCTTGGTTTCTTTCACTTGGTACCTGTCATTTTCTAAGCATCATTTTCCGAGTTTCCTGCTTTTAATTTCTTTTACTTCTTTTTATGCTGGCTGCCTTACGTTAAATATCTCCCTCAATTGCTGTATCTAATGCTATCGCTTCTAGCGTTTCTAATTCCCCCTCTGATAGATGCCTTCACACAGTCCTTCTATCTCCTTCTTAAAAAAGTATATCTAACTAACCTTTGCTCTAACTATTGGCTTATAATTACTTCCTTCATGTATCCTGTGACAGTTACTGTTTTCTATGATGGTCATCTATATTCCTTTTTCTATCTGTCACTTTACACTGTTACCGCTATCTCTCCCCTATCAATAATTCCCGCTGCTATCTTACTGTCTCTTACTGGATTGGTCTTTCTCCCCTGTTTCTACCTGTGTCTCAATTCCCTCCTATTTCTCTTTCATCGCCCCACCACACAGTTGTCTTTCAGATTTCGCTTATCTCTCTTTATCTTTTTTTCAAGACCCTATTACCCATCAGTTCCCTCTACTTTCCCTCTCTTATTACCTTCCTGTCTCCCCTTCAGTTGTCTACTATCTGTCTTCTTTTTTTTCCAGTTTTCCTCTATCTCTCCCTCCGTTTCTTCCTACCACAGTGTCTACTTTCTCTTTCAGTACTCCCCTCTCTGTTCCTCAATCCTCTGTCTCTCAGTTCTCTCCTCTCCACAGTTATCTCCTGTCTGTCTCAGTAGTCTGTTATGGTTATGGTTATGGTTATACCTCTCCCTCTAGTCTCTTTTTTTTTCCCTCTCTAGCTCAGTTTCCCCTTTAAGGAGACACTTTGCCCAGGGCTAAGTGAGGTGTCTGCTCGCCCTGGAAAGTAGCACCGACTTTACGTTGTGCTTCGGAGACGGCGGCTGTGAGGTTTATCACAAGCAACAAATGTGACTGAAACAAACGTTGTCCGGCGTTAAAATAGCAACACCCTGCGCACATTGCAATCACTTAACGCCGTTGCCATGGACGCTTGGGGCGGTGAACACTGACTGCCGGTAAACGGAATCCCTACGCTGCTGAACTATTTCCCCATAGTTGGCAAGTTTGCAAAGTTGGTTGCAATTTACAAATTAAAATGTTTAATGTATAAATAAAAGTTTTGTTTCATTTGTTATAGCGAAATAATAGTTAAGGTTTGCAATAGGAATATAGCCACATATCTTCAACCTGTACTGTGTTTTATTTATGCAATATAATTACTTTTATAAAGTATCAGTTTTCTCCAAAATGTGCAAAATGTTTTAAATAAAAGAACAAAGACTTTTCATAGTAAAATGTATGTCTTATTAATATATTCAAATATCAACAATATATTCAAATTCAACTGGTCTCACTGCATAAAGACAGCGGTTACAAGAGCAAGCCAGAGGATACAAATACTGCGGTGAGTAACTCACCTCCTGACTGCCCAAAGCCTGTCCACCATCGACAAGGCATAAGTCAGGAGTGCGGTGGAATAGTCCCCACTTGTAGGAGCAGCACTCATCCAGACAATACTCAGGAAGCTTGATACCATCCAGGACAAAGCAATGCATCACATCAGTAGCAGCAGTGTGTACTATCTACAAGATGCACTGCAGAAATTCACCAAAGATCTTCAGACAGCACCTTCCAAACCCATGACCACTTCCATCTAGAAGGACAGGGACAGCAGATATGGGGATTCTACAAATACATTAAGGACAGAAGGGTAACTTGGGAGAGAATAGGGCCCCTTAAAGATCAGCAAGGCCGCCTATGTGTGGAACCGAAGGAGATGGGTGAGATACTAAATGAGTAGTTTGCATCAGTATTTACTGTGGAGAACGATATGGAAGATATAGAATGTGGGAGAATAAATAGCGGCATCTTGAAAAGTGTCCATAATACAGAGGTGGAGGTGCTGGACATCTTAAAATGCACAAAGGTGGACAAATCCCTGGGACATAATGAGGTGTACCCTAGAACTCTGAGGGAAGTGAGGGAAAGAGATTGCTGGGGCACTTGCTGAGATATTTGTATCATCAATAGCCACAAGTGAGGTGCCAGAAGACTGCACATTGGCTAATGTTGTGCCACTATTTAAGAAAGGTGATAAGGAAGAGTCTGTGAACTATAGACCAGAGTCTGACATTGGTGGTGGGCAAGTTGTTGGAGGGAATCCTGAAGGACAGGATTTACATGTATTTGGAAAGACAACAACAGATTAGGGGGAGTCAACATGGCTTTGTGCATGGGAAATCGTGTCTCACTAATTTGGTTGAGTTTTTTGAAGAAGTAACAAAGAGGATTGATGATAGCAGAGCAGTGGATGTGATCTATATGGACTTCTGTAAAGCATTTGACAAAGTTCCTCATGGTAGATTGGTTAGCAAGGTTAGATCACATGGAATACAGGGAGAACTGGCCATTTGGATCCAGAACTGGCTCATAGGTAGAAGACCGCAGGTGGTGGTGGAGGGTTGCTTTTCAGACTGGAGGCCTGTGACCAGTGGTGTGCCACGAGGATCAGTGCTGGGTCCATTGCTTTTCATCATTTATGTAAATGATTTGGATGTGAACAGGGGAAGTATGGTCAGTAATTTTGCAGATGACACCAGAATTGGTGATGTAGTGGACAACAAAGAAGGTTAACTCAGAGTACAATGGGACCTTGATCAGATGGGTCGATGGGCCAAGGAGTGGCAGATGGAGTTTGATTTAGATCAATATGAGGTGCTGCATTTTGGAAAGGCAAATCAGGGCAGGACTTGTAGACTTGATGGTAAGGTCTTGGGGAGTGTTGCTGAACAAAGAGACCTTAGGGTGCAGGTTCATAGTTCTTTGAAAGCAGAGTTGCAGGTAAACAAGGTGGTGAAGAAGGCTTTTGGTATGCTTGCCTTTACCGGTCAGTGCGTTCAATATAGGAGTTGGGAGGTCATTTTGCAGCTCTACAGGATATTGGTTAGGCCAGTTTTGGAATACTGCGTTCAATTCTGGTGACCTGCTATAGAAAGGATGTTATGAAACTAATAAGGGTTCCAAAAAGATTTACAAGGATGTTGTCAGGGTTGGAGGCTTTGTGCTACAGAGAGAGGCTGAATAGGCTAAGGCTATTTTCCCTGGAGTGTTGGAGTCTGAGCAATGATCTTACAGAGGTTTATAAAATCATGAGGGGCATGGATAGGGTAAATAGGCAAGGTCTTTTCCCCGGGGCGGGGGAGTCCAAAACTAGAGCACGTAGGTTTAAGGTGAGAGTGAAAAGATAGAAAAAGGATCTAAGCAGCAATTTTTTCACGCTGAGGGTGGTGCATGTGTGGAATAAGCTGTCAGAGGAAGTGGTGGAGGTTAGTAGAGTTACAACATTTAAAAGGCATCTGGATAGGTATATGAATAGGAAGGGTTTAGAGGGATATAGGCCAAATGCTAGCAAATGGAAATAGATTTATATAGGATATCTGGTTGGCATGGACGAGTTGGACAGAAGAGTCTGTTTCCATGCTGTACAGCTCTATGCCTCTATATACGGGAACACCACCACCTTCAACTTCCCTCCAAAACAGTTACCATCCTCACTTGGAAATATATCACTGTTCCTTCACGGTTGCTGGGTCAAAATCCTGGAATTCCCTCCCTAAAGGCATTGTGGATTAACCCACAGCAGGCAAACTGCAACGATTCAAGAAGGCAGCTCACCACCACCTTCTAAAGGGCAACTAGGGTTGGACAATAAGTGCTGGCCAGCCAGCGACGCCCACATCCCACATATGAGTAAAAAAAACTGAAAAACATTCGAAGTCTCAATCTGTTCATGATCTCATTGACTTGTGGAACAGGTTTGAGGGGCTGAATGGCCTTCTCTTTTTATTATTTCCTCCTTAACAGTATCTCTGCTCTTTTTGTCAACCACTCCCCATCATAAGAAATTCCACATTCTCACTGCTCACTGGCCACAGAAGCTTCTTCAGAATTCTTTACTTGTTAGGGACAGTCTTATATTGATGGCCCTACATTTGTTCCCCTCCACTACCCACCCCAAGTGAAAACATCTTTATGACCACCCTGCCAAAGCCACTCACAATTTTCAAGTGAGCCACAGAAACAGATAATAGGACATGTAGCTAAAAGTCTAGTCAAATAGTTAGATTTTAAAGGTACCTTGATAGATGTTATTTAGGGATGAGAGAGGTAGAGAAAATTCCAGAACTTGGCAATCAGGTATCTGAAAGCTGTCAATAATGGAGCAATGAAAATGGGGGATATGCAATCGGCCATTCCAGGAATCCCCTCTCTGAATCTGTCCACCTCTTTTGTGTCTTTAAGGATGTTCCTTGAATTCTATGTCTTCAATTTTTATGCCACTTGTCCCAATAGTTCCTAATGTGCCTCATTGTCGAATTTTGTCTGACAATACTCATAAACTGCTGCTTGATCGCGTTAAAGGAGCTACATAAATGCAAGTTATTGTTTGTTACCGTAGGACAACTCCGTGTTGCCCCTACAGTTAGCCTTAAACGAACACAAAATTAGACAGTGGGCGGCCATTCAGCTCATCCTGTCTAGTTCTGATATTCCTAACAGCCAGCACACGCTTGTGTTTGGACCTAGAGCTTTCAGTTTAGAAGCATGGAGTTACCTGTGACACAGATATCCTAGGTAAGGGTAAATACCTCCTGGATACTATCACAGAGGGTATAAAGTAAGGGCTCTAGGCAACTGACCCAGATTCTACCTCTGGGAATAGGTCTCATCAAAGTTGACAATCCAAATTGATGTAATTAATTGCTCCACAGGATATCTTGAGGAGGATACAGGTCGCTACATGAATGCATATAACTAGAGTCGGTTACCAATTGCTTGTTTGCAAACGGGGTAAGGGAAAAATCTAGAGTCTTCCAAATTTTTTGCTCTTGTGAATTTTTGAATTCCAGCATTGAGTTGAGTGCCTAGTTTTTTTTGGGGGGGACGTGAGTAAAAGTTTTCTGAAGGTAGTCGGGGAGAAGTGTGTTTTTTTTTGAAGTTGCACGTTTTATTCCCTAAACTACAGAAATCCCCGAGACAGCATTTGCAACTGGGCGCAGAAGGTAAACGTCTGGACCTTCCTACAGCCCGCTCATTGTGTGTGTTTGTTGGTCTCTCAAGAACTTTTCAGTTCTCCCTTGGCGCTTTCTACAGAGAGAAAAAAAATATACATAATATTTGTCTTGCCCCGGAAGTGTTGCTGCAGCCGGCGAGTTGAATGAGGAAGATGGCAGAGTCGGAAGAGGAGGTGGACGTTTTGGTTCAGAGGGTTGTCAAAGACATCGCCAACGCGTTCAGGAGGAACCCCAACATGTAAGTGGCGGGTCTGCCGCGGGTACAGCCGCCGCCCATTGCCCAAGGCATTGAGCATCAGACCATCGCGGAGCCAGCTCAATCCCCACTGTCACAGGGGTTTATAAACAGGGTTTGGGGGGGTCGGCACTGGGAAATGCCGAGCATAAAGGGAGCGAGAATCTGCGGTCGGTCTCCGAGAGCCTCTCTTCTGTTATGAGCATCAAACTTCAAAAAGGACTTTTACAGAAACCATTTACTTCCAAATTGCAATAACACCCGGCTGGCTGCAATCGCTGATGTAAACATCAGGGCACGGTGCCGTTTTGTCTTTTTGTATACCACTTGTGAATCCACTGGTGGGAAGGGCGGGGGGTGGAGGCTTGGCTGTCTCCTGTTTTAAACTGACCTACTGTCCTTTTCTTTCTAATAGAAAACACCCACAGTTTTTTTTTCTTTTCTGAAATTCACATTGCAAAGTGTCATTGTAAGCGTGATTGCTTCTGTTGCCCTTTGGAGAGGATGTGGGCATTTGTCAGTGCATTTTCAATCAGCACATCTTGTCGGCATATGTTGATTTTTCTTTATGTTTTGCAATGGGCTAACAAACCCAGCACAGATGGAGGACGTTTGTGCCTTTGACCTCCTGCTAGCTCTGTACAAGTTATGTAGTTCCACTCCCTCAGCCTTTTTTTATTCTTCTGTGGCCTAATATTCATTCTTGAATGCCTCAAGTGAGTCTGCTAACGCCACATTCTCAAGCAAGGTGTCCCTGACCCCAACCATTCCCATATCGTGTCAGGACATATTTACCCGTGTTACCTTTTTTTTTGGCCAGTCCATTTAAATTGATGCCTGCTGCTTCTTGACCTTTCTGCCAATGGCAGCACTGACAGCACATGCAAAGATCATTTTGAAGAGCAAATTCAATTCATATTTACCTTTAAAAGTAGCCATTTTACCTGTGCTTTATTTCCTGTCTGGTCCTGGGGTGACTTTATTTTCTTCTCCCTTGTTTATGCAGTGATGAAATTGGATTGATTCCGTGTCTTGAAGCTCGGTACAATCGGAGTCCTATAGTTCTGGTGGAAAATAAGCTCGGTGTAGAAAGCTGGTGTGTTAAGCTTCTTCTGCCCTGTGTCCATAGCAAACTTGTTCTCTACAGGCAAAGAAAGCTGTGGTTAGACCGGGATGGTAAGTGGCTGCTGTTGTACTAGCTCTCCCACTAGACTTCTGATAAACAGACATTTTTTTAAAAAAAAAGAATTTCCACAACAGTGTCCAGTTTTCAGGACCAGCGGGTTAACGATAGTTTACGTTTTATATAATACTTTAAAGAACAAGGTTAAAAACATTCCAAAGTGATTCACAGGAATGTTGTCAAAACAAAATTTGACACCAAACCACTTGGTGAGCTGTACGAAAGGTTGGCCTTAGAAGTAGGTTTCAAGGACAGTGTTAAAGGAATCTGAGATGGAGATGTTCAGGGAAGATGTTTGTGAGCTTGGGGCCTTGACAATTCGATGGTATGGCCAGCACTGGAATGGTTTATAAATCCAGGATTTATAAGAAGTCCAAATCGGAGGAGTATAGAGACCTCGGTAGGTTGGACAGCTGGAGCAGATGAGGAGGGATTTGAAATTTGGGCTGAGCGTTTTCCAAGTTGAAATATTGTGGGCCTTGGGTGTGATGGTGTCCAGTAATCAAATTAATGGAGGTATAAAGATGTGCAACTGATCTTCCAGAAATAACGAGCCGATAAATAGATGTGAGCGTGTGTATGTTGAGATGCCTTCTTAAAGTAGGCCTATGTGATTTGGTTTTTGATATTTGAATTGTGCTTAATAAAAATCCTCTTTTTCATATTTACAAGGTCTCTTTCCTGTGGCTGGGATGTCTGTCTTTCCTATTCTGTATAATATCAGATTTCTCCGACCTTGCAATTTCTATCTTTCTCCCCGTGTGGGAGTATTTCCTTTCACTCGATATTTCAGCACTAAATTCCTTGTGATATTGCAACAAATGCTTTTTGGAATGACAATATAAAGCTCACCCACTGGGAATGTTGAAATTTTGTTCTTTCCTAAATGGCTGGTACCAGGTTGAAACTTCGTGCTAACTTTTTTTTATTTAATGCTGGTGATGACATAAATGATCTGTCAATACTTGTACCCATTCAATGATAATGCAAAATGTTGGGACCTGGAAAATTAATGACTAAATTGTATAACCACTGAAAAATCTTGTCTCTTTCTGGGTAACCCTTGCCCTAGTAATCAGATGCTGAATCGCTGCTTTAGCTTTCAAATTTCTATCTATATGCATGCAGAATTGGCACATATCTTTACTTTGCCCCATTTTTAAGAAGTGATAGGGTTAATTAAGTGGTTAAGTTGTGGAGGAGCAGCTATTGTTATCACAATGTGATTTTCTTCTTAGTCTACTTTAATGAGTAGCAATTTTACAGAATGATTACAATTTGTTAAAGAAGATGAACAATCTCCATTTTACAATCTCCCTTATCAAAAGAGTTTCACTTTTATTCCACAGCCACCCATGTTTTAATTTCTGTAATCTTATCTGACATCTAAAAAATCATTCCAAACAAGTGAATTTTATTTGAGGTTGTACACGCGTTCACCGAGCAGTTGTGTTTGGTTGCAGACGTTTTGTCACCCTGCTAGGTAATACTGTCAGTGCGTCTCCGGTGAAGCATTGTGTTCTGTCCTGCTTGTTATTTATATGCCTCGGTTTGCTGGGGTGGCTGGTATTATTTCCGGTTCTATTTTCTCAGTGGTTTGTATATCGGGTCCAGTTCAATGTGTGTGTTGACAGAGTTCCAGTTGGAATGCCAGGCCTCCAGAAACCCCCTGGCATGTGTCTGTTTGGCTTGTGCTATTATGGATGTGTTGTGCCAGTCGAATTTGTGTCCTTCTTTGTCCGTGTGTATGGAGACCAGTGAGAATTGGTCATGTCTCTTGGTGGCTAGTTGGCGTTCGTGTACCCTTTCTTCCAGTCTGGCCTATGTCATGTTTCTCACAGTCCTTGCATGGTATTTTGTACGTTATGTTAGTTTTATTTGCTGTGGGTAAGGGGTCGTTTACGTTCGTCAGTAGCTGTCACACCGTGATTGTTGGTTTGTGGGTTACTCTGATACCTAGGGGTCTGAGTAGTCTTGTGGTCACCTCTGATATGTCTCTGATGTACGGTAGGGTGACTGCTGTGTCTGGCCATGTTGTGACTTCTTGTTGTAGTCTGTCATGGAGGTAATGGTGGATTGTGCTTTTTAGGTATCCATTCCTTTCAAAAACTCCGTATAAGTGTTCCTGTTCTGCTTTGTGTAGTTCTAGGAGCAGCACAGCCAGACACGCTAGTCACCCTACTGTACGTTAGGAACACATCAGAGGTGACCACAAGACTACTCCGACCCCTAGGCATCAGAGTAACCCACAAACCAACAACTGCCCTGCGACAGCTACTGACGAACATAAACGACCACATATCCGCAACAAATAAAACTAATGTAATGTACAAAATACCATGCAAGGACTGCGAGAAAACGACATAAGCCAGACTGGAAGAAAACTGGCAATACAGGATACACGAACACCAACTAGCCCCCAAGAGACACGATCGATTCTCACTGGTCTCCATACACACGGACAAAGAAGGACACAAATTCAACTGGGACAACACATCCATAATAGCACAAGCCAAACAGAGACATGCTAGGGGGTTCCTGAAGGCCTGGCATTCCAACCGGAACTCTGTCAACAAACACACTGATCTCGACCCGATATACAATCCACTGAGAAACAGAACTGGAAGTAATACCAGCTCCCCACCAAACCGAGGCATATAAATAACAAGCGGGACAGAACACCAACGCTTCACCGTAGACACACTAAAGATGTTACCAATCAGGGTGACGAAACATTTGCAATCAAATACACCGGCTCGGTGAGCAAGTGTGCAACCTCATCCACGACCTAAACTCCAAATCTTCTGTAAAACTTTCAATTTTATTTATGCTATGCTGTAGTACATGTAGTTTCTTGACTGACAAAAACTTACCTAGACTGTAGGTGATGGAGAATTATAGTGAAGTCAAGTGCACAACACTGTGGGCATACATGTACAGGCATGCATGTAGTGAAGCTGTTTCTATTGCGGTTTCTGGGTTTTTTTTTCCCCTCAGTAAGTTGTCAGCTGTGACACTGAGCTTAGAAGCTTGCTTCTCCATCAGTTGGTTTAATTCCCTTTCCGGAGACTCTAGCACAATCCAAATTGACACTATCACTTTACTGAGGGAGTGCTGCACTGTTGGAGATGCTGTCTTCTGGATGAGGTGGTAGTTACCCCTCAGGTGGATGTAAAGGTCTCGGTGCATTATTCGTTTGAAGATCAGCAAGTCCTTTGTAGTCCTGGGCCTACATTGAATCCTCAACCAACCTTGTGCTTTTGAAAAAAGAAAACTTATTTAATCTTTGCCTAACTACTGTTTCTGGGATCTTTTGCTCTGTACAAATTGTCTGCCATATTTTCTACATTAAAGTGGTGACATGTCAAAATTGCTCCTTCTGTTTGGGCCCTATTAAACTAATGAAAAGCACTATGTAAATGAAAGTTATTTTCTTTCTTAATCATCCCTTCCTCTGGTTATCTGATCAGTGCTGTTGGTTTTGAGTCCTGGTCTTTGTCCCTCCCTCCTGTAACAGCCGGCAAAGGATATCAGTTAAGCTGAAATGACTCAGCAGTAGCACTTAGAAATGTGAATTCTACCTGTTTACCATCTAGACACTTGTGCTATCCTTTAATAATATTGGTAGAAAGAATATCATTGGAGAAAATCTGGAATGAAATCCAATAGATTGAATTAGTATTTTGATTCGCAGCACATTGTGTACCATTCAGAATTAATACAAAGGCAAAGTACTGTGAATTATTAAAAATAAACATCTGAAGTGTTGTGAAAACCTGTTTCATGTTGATGACCTATTATTTAGAATCAAATATTTACTCTAACGCTATTGTTCATCGGACAGTGAAACTGTCAAAAGCCAAGTTCATTTTCACAAAACCAAGAAATTAGTACTTCCCTACTGACACAGTTTCTTGCAACAGTTTCAAGATCTTTTCCATCCTTGACTCTTCTTGGAAAATGACTCAGTTTATTAATCTGGAACTCTGGCAAGCCAACCAACCACAACATCCACAATCCGAGCTACAAATCTACTCTAAAACCTTAGAATCTGGAATTATGAGATGTCTCTGCTCTGTACTTTCACTGGGTTTAGCATATTCTAACTATGCAGTTTTATTAAAGGTTGCATTGTACATTTGGCTTTGTTTTTAAAACACTTCTTTTAAACCATCTTAAAGTCACTTTGTCATTGGGCAAAAAAAAGACCAAGTGTCCTCAATCATTGCTTCTTTAGTTTTTACACTCCTTTTCTGAGCAGTTTAGATTTGCCTGTCTCCCCGAGTGACTGAACTGACAGTAGCTCTGGTCTGATCAGTGCTGTGAACAGTTTAGATCAAACCTCAGATTTCTTTGAAGTTTTCTCGTTTCTGACATCCGCATGTTTTTATTTTAAATATAGCCATTGCCGTTTCGTTTTAAGCATTTTCTTTTTCTGACTAGATCACAACAATTTCTAATTTATGTGGCACCTCTAACGTAGTAACACATCCCAAGACATTTTGCAGGAACAATTGGCAGGCAGAATTTGACACTGAGCCATACAAGGAGTTTTTGCAACACCTGGCCCAAAAGCATTAGCTAAAATGACAGGTCTTGAGGACAGGGGTAGAAGTTTGGTGATGGAATTTCAGTTTAGTTCCAAGGTAGCTGAAGCCTTTCCAACAGTGGAGAAACAATTAAAAGTCGGAAATGTGTGAGAGACCAGGATTGGTAAAGTGCAGCACTTGGGAAAATGTAAAGGACGTTGTGGAGATATTGAGTGTCAAGTCTACAGAGACATTTGAACACTAGGATAACAAATTTTGAGTTGAGGCATGATAGGATTGAGAGGCCAGTGACCCGAGGTGGCGATGGATGAGCAGGATTTGGTTTCGTTCCCTCCGCTATGGAGTGCAGAGCTTCAGATGAGCTGAAGTTCAAGCAGAATGACAAGTGGGAAGCCAGTCAGGAGGGTGGGTGGCTGGAATCATTCAGTCTGCCACTTTATCTATGGTTGAGTGTTCAGTTTGATTAGCTGCTTGCTGTTTTGCTGAGATTTGATCTGTAATCCAATGTTTCTTTCTTTAAAGAGAAACATCTTGCATCATAGACATCCTCTCTCAATTGACAATCTGTATAGCAGCGTAAATTTATTCTTGTCTTGTGAGCAGCAATGAATTCTGTTCCACCCACGACTTTTCCATATATAGCCTTTTATAGCTCCTACATTGTAGAAAATTAGTTTTTGATGTTTGGAATATGTGCAACTTGATGATTTGCTAGTGCCTGCAATTCCATTGGATTTAATGGAAACCTGTTCAATATGTGGTATAGATTTTTGCTTAATTTTATGTGAACAGACTTTGTTAAATAAGGTTGCTTAATATATTTTTTTTGTTTGTTCCTTCCTCTCGCCCCCACATCTCTCCCTCCTCTTCAGCACTGACTGATCTCACTTGTACTCTGCTGCTTCTAAATCCAGACTTCACAACTGCCTGGAATGTCAGGTATGTCACAGTCAGCAAGTGTCAATATCCGTGGCTGGCTCAGATCCGAAACCTGACTCAACCGTGGCATTTATGACAATTTAAGATCTTTTTTAAAAGCTGTTGTGTTGTTTGCTCATGGTGGAGTTACTTTTTGAAATTGGAGAAAGCACATACCTTGCATTCATGTGGCACCATTCAGAAAATCCCAAAACCAGTTATGACTGAAAATTACTGTTGCAATGTCGCAAATTGCAGTCTGATAATTTTGTGTTTAATAATGTGCCAAAAATACACTGGAAAATGAACAAACAAAATCTGTTAAGGAGTAAATATTGATCAAGATACCAGGAAAAATTCCCTGGCTCCTTTTCTATATTCCTTTTTGAGTAGCAGCAATTTGAATGCACCTGAAAAAGCAAGACATTATCTTGTTGGAACACTTTTTATTCGGGGTTCTCCAGCATCCCTAATGGATTTTGTGCAATCTTCAAGTCCCAATTTTTTTCTTCAGTAGTGGTTTACTTTGTGACAGGGGGAGGCAGAGTGGGTTGGGGTTCCACAGAAGTCGACAATGTATTTGAGTTCCCTCACGAAGAAAAATATTGAAAACCACTGACTTAGTGTTTCATCTGCAAGCCAACACCTCCAACAAACCAGCCCTTCCTTGGGTGCTCCACTAGGTGTGTCAGTCTAGGTATTGTGCTGAAGTTTCTGGAGTGGGACTTGGAGTCTGTTTCCATGCCGTATGACTCTTCGGTCCAAACTGTCCATGCCAACCGTAATCCCAAACTAAACTAGTCACGCCTGGCCCATATCCCTGCAAACGCTTCTTATTCATATACTCATCTAAATGTCTTTTCAAATGTTGTAATTGTACCTGCATCCACCACTTCCTCTGGAAGTTGTCCCACACATTAACCACTCTCTCTTTTTTTTAAATAAAAAATTGCCCCTCATGTCTTTTTTAAATCTTGCTCCTCTCTCTTGATCCCAGAAAGTTCTCACTTGAAGGTTGGGGCATCCTACCAACTAGAATGGAATTAAAATTGCCTTTCTGTATCGACCAAGAATATTGGCATGTAACACTTTCTTTTTCTAATGGTAATGAATTGATGCTGCAGAATTAGACATTGATAACTACTCATGTTTTGAGGATTCCACTTGAAAATCCCTTAACACCTGAGGATGGTAAAAGGATGTAAATAACCCATTTCCTTTAACGTGCTTGGGCCAAATGGAAGACTGTGATGATAATACAATAAATGGAGGGATGTTAGAAAATGATTTGAATGGGGAACACGTCTATCTCTGGTTAACGTAGGAACACAAAGTACTCTCTTTCTGCAGACTGCTGGTAACTAATCTTTGCAACGCACAGGACAAAATTGTATAGCACTTCTTTTAAACGTAGCAAGAATTGCAAGGGACTTTTATGGGGAGATGATGGCGTAGTGGTGATGTTACTGGGCTAGTAATCCAGGGAGGAGGAAATACTGCAGATGCTCGAATCTCTACAAAAAACAAAAAACACTGGAAATCACAGCAGGTCAGGCAGCATCCATGCAGAGAGAGTAAGCTAACATTTCGAGTCTAGACAAGAGTCATCTTGTCTCAACATCAGCTTGCTGTCTCTCTCCATGGATGTTGCCTGACACACTGATTTCCAGTGTTTTTTGTTTTCAGTAATCCAGGGACCCAGGCTAATATGTCATGGGAGTCATGGGATTAAATGGCACCAGTGTACTGCTTAAATTTAACGTTTAAAAAATTAAATCAAGAATTGAAAGGCAAATAAACTTTTTTTTGTTGTAAAAGTCCACCTGCTTCACTTATCTTTTTTAGGGAAGGAAATCTGCCATCCTGCCACAGCAAGGTACAATTCACTGGCTTCTGAAATAGGCCTAGCAAGGCACTCAGTACAATGTTGCCCACATCTCATGAAAGAATTTTTTTTTAAATTCACAGTAGAGATTACTCAACAAAACTTGATACTGCACCAGATGAGAGATTGGAGGCAAAATCTTGGTTAGAGAAGTAGGTTTTAAGCAGTGTAGTAAAGGAAGAAGAGAAGTTTTGGGAAGGGAGTATGAGCTTGGGGCTCAGGTGACTGAAGAGACAGTGATTAACATCAAGGATGCACTGGTGATCAGAATTGGAAAAAGCAAATCAATCTGCTTTGTCTAAAAGTGTTTGGGGAGAATTAAGACCATGTAAGGATTTGAGAGCAATGTTTTAATGCTTCCTAGACTGGGTTTTAACTAGTCACAAGTGTTGGGGGATTCCTGACTTGCTTCGATTATAAAGAGCCTCATTACACCCAATATTTGCTTCTAGGAGGTGTGGCTAGCATTGAGTAAGACCTGCTGACGTCTGAAGCAAATTGTTGGCAGGCACGGGAGTTAGACAGACCACTTTGGTTCCCTGGCACTCCATCCCGATTATTTTAGAAGCTGTTGTGTCCTCCAAACCCCACCTCTGTAGTCACTCATGCAGTGTCCACTGCAGGAGGACTTCTGGAAGGATGTGGAGATGGGGGGTAGTTGGTAGGAGGAAAAAGCCAAATGCAGTGAAGATCTGTCATTTGCATCTTTTGCGAATATGCTTATTCATATTCTGTACATTTTGTCCACTGGGGGTCCAAAGCTTACTTATCCACAGTTTACTGGCAAAAAATAAAAAGAGGAGGAAATGTCAAAATGAAAGCACTTGAATGATTCCAATTTTTAAGAAAAGACTAAGATATAGAAGTTGTCCATGATCTGTTTCCTGGATTAGAAACTGCACTTCATGTGCATCATCTTCCGTAATGTTTAGTGGTGTGACTACATTGTTATGCTTTGATTTGTAATTTGCAGATGATACATGTTTTGTGTACTTAGTATTTTTCAAGCAATTTTTCCAGTGGGACATCTCTACTTATTTAAAACAAAACAATGTTTTTACTGACAATTCTCTTCACTACATAAAATTTTGAATAGTTGTATCGTATCTAATTGACTCCTATTTTTAAAGTTTGATGGTTTTCAAATTTCAAATTTTTCAAAGAAATCCTGTAAATGACAGGGTTTTGTTGTAAACTTCTAACAATACAAATGAGCTCTCACTTATGCATACTTGTTTCTGGAAAAAAAGTCAATGTGGAACGCATTCAAGGATTTTAAATCCCCTCAACTGGTCAATTTGTCGTAAAATATCAAACACCTATTCAGTAACTGCGTCAAAAACAATTGATCCTTTAATACTCTCATTCAACTGTCAGTCAAATTGAGCTAAGACCACCTGCTGAGAATTGGTTCTGAAACTTGGCCTAGCATTCATGATCTTGGTAACAGCTCTTGGGAGATGAATTCTATTGAGCTGCAGGAATAAATTGTATTAATTTTATATAACCTACATTAGGTGGCCCTTTAGTCCAAGCAGGATGGCTCTAAAGGAGGGCTTCAGCATTTTTTTTTCATCTGGAATAGGCTGAATATTTAAATCACCTCAGATTGTGACAGTGAAACAAACTTTTCTTCTAACCTGACGTTCAAGGACATCTATGTCTGCTGTATAAATTTGTGACTCCCAAACTGCAGCTCTAAGACTTCAGGGACGGGCTAAATGGGGGTCATTAGAACATTGTGCTAATTTTCAAGTGATCTGGTTGAGTTTGTGTTTCATGTCTCCATTCCCCTTACCCCAGAAGATGAAATGTTGGCAACGTGGGAAGGGCTTCTGCATCCAGGTCCCTGCCTGCCATGTTTAAAAGTCCCTGCGGTCAGCTTGATTCCATGCAAATTCAGTCCTTCGACTGTGAATAGCAGCTGAGAAATCAAATCCAAGTACTCCAGAAAAGTGTAAATTTTTGGTTTAATTTGAGCGTATTCAGTAGCTCCTGATGTGCTTAATTCTGTTTGGCTTTCTCCCGAAATATTAACCAACTTGCTTACTTTTCTAAATGTTATGATTTATTTAAACTTATGGATATAGACATATGACTTGTGAATGAGTGTATAGATATATACACCAGATACTGGATAATAATGCAGATTTAGGGAAGGTGTCTTTGCGTGTGTATAGTTTTTTTTCTTTCTATTTCTTGTCAGTCTACCCTCATTTTCACCCTCCCCTCCCTCTTTCTTTCCTGTACCCAGAACTTAGACAGTAATTGTTTAGAAGCTGTTTAATCCATGAACTGTAGTTACTGTTCCCAAACAGTGAGATACTGTGTGTCTCTCTCTGATTCTGTGATGTGAAGATACCGGTGTTGGACTGTGGTGGATAAAGTTAGAAATCCCACGACACCAGGTTAACAAGTTTTTGTAGTGCTGCGTTTTGATCAGGTGAAGGAGCAGTGCTCAGAAAGCTTGTGATTCCAAATAAACCTGTTGGACTACAACCTGGTGTCATGAGACTTCTGACTGTCTGGTTCTTAACAGCTGAACGAGCTCTGAGAGGGAGGGGCTTTCATGTGCAACAGTGTATTTACTTTAAAAGCAACTTTGAACCCTGTTTGCCTCAATTCAGGACTTTTTGTTGTGGTTGAGCCTCTGATCTTAATTTTTGTTTTCAAATTTAGGAAGCATAGATAAAGTTCTAATACCGGGTCAATACCCAGAAATTGTTGTGCATTCCTTACTGCCCTATGAGTGGAATTTCAGGGCTAGATTTTCGTACTTCAGAACACTTGGGATGAATTTAAATAGCTCGTTCAAAGAGCTGGCATGCGTATGATGGATTAAACGGGCCCTTTTTTTAATGCTGTAGTATACTAGGTCTTGGAACAGACTTTGATTTACCTGCTCTGAGCTTCAGATCAGTTGAATTGATTACTGGCAGTGCAGATCATTTTTGGCTCTGTCTGAGTTTCAAGGCTGGAAAATGGTGGCATAATGATAATTTCATTGGGCTGGTAATCTCTGGGGACATTGGTTCAAATTCTATCACAGCAGCTAGTGCAATTTATATTTGGTTCATAAAAACCTGGAATAGAAAGGTAGCGTCAGTAATAGTGACCATTAAGTCAGTACTGATTTGTCATTCAAAACCTTTCCGGTTCCCTAATGTGTTTTTTTTAAGAGAAAAAAAATCTGCCACCTTTGCCTGGTCTAGCCTACAGAGGAGTCCAAGCCCACAGCAATGTGCTTGTCTCTTGACTGTCCTTTGAAATAGCCTAACGATCCCAATCAGTTCAAGGGCAATTAGGGATGGACAAGAGCAACTCTCTCCTCCCATGCGAGAATAAAAGAAAAACAATTGTGGCAAATATTGAGCCAGCCTATACCCTGGTCTGATTTTGGCCAGTAAAATGTGGGTAATGAAACGGGCACTTAATTGGTCACACCCTTGTGTAGGTGATTGTTGCATACAAATGGACACAACAGTTCTGAGAGGAAAAAGGAGACCTGTGTTGCTCAGTGAGGTGTCACTCTTTCCCGGAGTGCAGAATATGAAACCACAGGCGGTTTGGAGTCTGCATAACCTAATTGTATTTTAATGTCGAGAACTCTGCATAAGAATGGAAATTTTACACTGGGACTGAGTAATTGTCTGACCTGGCTCAGAATTTTACAAGGTTGCTATGATTATATTTGCAGAAAAGCTTTCTCCATTACCTGTAGAGTTTTTTTTTTTAATTTGTCCTTTGGAAGGAGTTAAGTCCAAGCATACTTGCCCCAAAGTTTCCTCTGAAGGGCTTGCTGTGCCCATTTCGGCGAGCAGGGAAGAATGAATCATGTTGATGTATTGACTGGAGTCTCATAGGCAGACTAGATAAATATGTTAGACTCACTTCCTAGGAGGATATTTAGTGGCATAGTTTGTTTCTTTTTGTTTGTGACCATCTAATTGCTGCTTGGTCCCATTTTTGTTTATTGCTACCACCTTTAAATGCTAGGTTCTGTTTGTTCTTATTTAACAAATGCTAAATTCAAATATTAAACCTGCAATGTTGGGATTTTGAACTCTACCTGAAGTATTAGTCCAAATCTCCAGGTTACTATTATAAGCAGCTAAGACTAAAATTACTGATTTAATTGTTATTGTAGAAAACCAAATTAAAATACTGACATATTAATATTCACAAAAATGATATTGCTGATAGTGCCATTGATATTCGTGTGTTTAATGTATCTAAAACAGACTTGATAATTGTGTGCGTTTTTGCTTTTTGCCTAATTTAATAACTGGAATCTACTTCATTTGATAACATGAGAGAATGATCCTGAAATATTTTCCAGAAAGGAACTGGTGCAGTTGGGAGCTTTAGATCCATTTAAGGATTTGTATCTCGGAAAATTGGCCTTAACAAAGTTCCCTAAAAGTCCAGAAACTTGGATTCACAGGTTTGTAAAAGAACACCTCGTATAATAATTTAAATGATGTTTGAATTATTTTTGGGTCAAATGTAATAGAACTTTCTTTTCTGTCCATTTTAATGTCTCACTTGGGTTATTTTAGTTACTTGTGTTACTTGAGAAACTCTCATTAGCAAACGTTCTCGGTGGGATTAAGGACGGTGATTTTTTTAAACTTGTTTCACAGGAGACAATTTACTTGAGTAAAGTACATGTCCCACTCTCATCTCTTAGCTTCCCCAGTCCCCATCTGACAGATTTCTGCATCTCTGCTTCCCGGATTATAAGATTGCTGTAACTAACTATTGTCATTATGGGAACAAAGGAGGAAATGATGTAGCCTGTTTTCCCAGCTAATTGGATTTTTCTTTCATGGAATGTGGCAAGGCCAGCAAATGTCACCCATCCCATTTTATCTTTGACCTGAGTAGATTGCTTGGCTCTATTAGATGGCAGTGAAGAGTCAACTATGGTTCTGGAATAGACCAGACCAGGTAAGGACGGCCGATTTCCGTTCTTAAGGGACGTTCTTAGTGAACCTATCCAGTTCACTAATGGCCACTGGTGACAACCATGGTCACCACTTCCAAGCCTAGTTTTTAATTTCAGATTTTTATTATTTGAATTTAAATTCCACCAGCTGCCGTGTTGGGATCTGAGCCTACATCAGAGCATTAACTTGGTCCTCTAGCCCAGTGATATCATTCTCACTGTTACCTCATGTTGCTGATCTATATTCTAGCTTCACTTGTCAATGTTTACATATCCCTTGATACTCTTGGCTGGCATCTGTAAATCTCTGATTTTAAATTGACTGATTGTCCCGATGTTCGTTCTTATGGGGGCAGTGGTAGACAGTCTCTCTTTTTTTAAGTGGGAAGAATATCTTCCACTCAGTGGCATTGGCTACTGCTGAGGTGTGACTCTTCTGTAGATCTTTCTGTTCTGAGAGATTTAATGTCCACCACTTGCACCGTTTAAACATCTATAACTGCTGAGTGCGAACTGAATGGGTGACATTTCCCCAGTCTTTTGCACTTAAACTTCAAGCTCCAATGTTTGGTGTCACCATGACCCTGTAGTATGTGAATGAGATATGTTTGCTGGAATGTTTTGAAGTCACTTTCTATCTTGCATTTTAATTCTTGCTGCTTTTAGAGGGGAAAAAAGGAGCCCTTTGGTTTGTTGCTCACTGAAGCACCTAACCAGCATGGACAAGAGCTGAAATGTTAATTAAACCTTTCTTCCTCCTGAGTAACACAGTTGATCAGCACATGGTTACAAAACTAACTTGGTTAAAGCAATATTCTTCCACATACAACTAGAAAACACCACCTTGTTCTTTAAATTTAAGAATATTTATTTGCTTCAGTTAGGAACAGGAGATGGCCAATTACCCCCTCAAGCCTATTCTGTCAATCAATGAGTTCCTGCCTCAACTCTGTGTACTTGTTTGTAAGTCACAGTGCACAGCGTCATACACTTGAGAGTTCAGTTCCTGTGCTGATGCTGGACTCTTAAGTTTGTGTCAAACCTTCACTTCAAAATGACATTTACTTTCCCAATGACATTACACGCTAACTGTAGTGTCTTGGTGGTCCCATTTTGTAAATGTTAATCTGCTGAGTTAAAGTAGGCATGATACAATTGAAATGTGGTGATGAACTGGAATGATACCCTCTTTGTCTCTTCTCCAACCCCCGCCCCCGGTTAATCCTTCATATTCCCCACAACTGTGGTACCTTGTGTATCACGATATATGAACCCCCCACCCTCCCCTGAAGAAGATTTAAAACCTTGGGCCAAACCAGCAAGAGGAGAAATCAGATAAATTCCTCTTTCTGCTGTCTTGGTGACGAAAATACCCAGATCACCACTCTGACCTTGATAACTAAAGCTCTTTTAATCAATTTTAACATAAGAAATAGACTATTCAGGCCCTTGAACTTGCTCTACCATTCAATAACTTGTCTAATTTGACTCTAGTCTCACCTCTGCTTCTCTGTCTGTTCCCATGTTCCCTTGTCAATCCAAAAACCATCCAACTGAGCCTTGAATGTATTCAATACCCCAGCCCCCAACGCTGTCTGGAGCAGAGAATTCCAGACTCTAATAATCCTCTGAAGTTCCTCGTCATCTCAATCTTAAATTAGAGACCCCTAAATGAAGTAACTCTGGGTGGGACCCTCCCTGTAATAAACATTTTGGGACACTTCAAAGGTGTTTCATTTTGGGAAGGAACAAAAATTTGGCTCACTTCTCCTTTGTATTAAATGCTTTCTAACAACAACTTGTGTTTATTTAGCACCTTTTATTTATTGTTATAAAACATTCCAAAGTGTTTCACAGGGAGTTTTCAGCCACATAATAATTGGATCAGATGACAAAAAGTATTGGTGGAAGAGTTCGGTTTTAAAGGGCATTTTGAGAGGTGTCAAGAATGAACTCTAAAACTTGAAATTGCATAGGCCAATGAAACGTGGCCATTGCTTTACCATCAATTCACATCTGGGACATGCGAGCGGCCAGAGTTAGAGGAGCAGAGATCTAAATGGTGGAGCTGAAAGCAATTAGAAAGATGGGGAGACAAAACATTGCACAGTCAATGTAGCCCATCAGCGAGCACAGATGAAAGCAGAAGTTGAAATACAGGCATAGAGTTAGAGAAGTAGTTATAGAAGACCTGTGGTTTATCCAGAATTGAATGTTGGGGACCAGCCAGAAATGTATTACAATAGGTGAACTCATGAAGGCTGGCATGAGAGTTTCAGCAGGAGCTGAGTTAAGACGGGTGCGATGTTGAGCAATGAAACCGAGGTGGAAGTAAGTCATCTTTAATAGTTTGAGTTTGGAAGCTTGTTGCCGGATTACAAACAGACTGACTTAACCTTAGATTGTTACCAAGGTGAGGAATGGTGTTAGTTTGGAAAGGAATTGAAAACATTGGCCTCAGTTTTCCCAATGTTTAATCTTGTCTCCTCTACAACCTGACACTCTGCACGATCAGGTGACACTGTGCTTGTGACACTGAGTGAATTGTCTCTACTTGCCCCATGTAAAAATAATTGATGCAATTCCAGGTCTATAATGAAATCTTTAAAAAGAGCATGGTGTCTACTTGCAATCCATCTAATCATACATCGCAACCTTTAGAATTGCTACTTGAAGAACATAATTTTTTTGTTTAAAATAGTGCTAAAATCTAATTACTTAGTTTGACAAATGAAAGTGCTGCCTAATTTTGTGATGTCCTGTTGTACTCTTTGTTCAGCATGTATTTAAAATGCCCATTTACTTTGAAGAGACTTCTCTCCATAATTCAGCGATTGCCCTTAAGCATTGACTTTGTGAGCAACTCTGTAGTCTTCAGATAAAGCAAAATTGAAGGCTGGGGGATAATCAGTATTGGGGTTCGCAGATATAATTCATCCATTCAGCACATTGAGACTGTGCTGTCTGTTCTAATGAGCAAACCAGTTGGTTCCACTCCCCTACTTCCCCATTTTTCCTCAAAGTATTAGTTCAATTCTCTTTTGAAAGCATCTATTGAATCTGTATCCACAATGCTAACCATTCATTGCATTATCAAAATAGGCTATTTCTCATATCCCACTCCCAATTCCTCTGCCAGTCACCTTTAAATCACCCACTGGAAACAGTTTCTCTTTATTGACTCCATCAGCACCCTCCATGAGTTTACATATTTCTATAAAAACTCATCTTCGCAGTCTCTGCTGTGAGCAGAACAACTCTATTTTTCCAGTCTCTGTGTATAACTGCAATTCCTGAAAACATTGTAGTAAATCTCTTCTGCATTTTCTCCAGACATTGAATATTCTACTACAGCTGGAGACTGAACAATGGCTTTTTAACCAATTTAATTTCCTTGTTTTCCTGCTCTGTGACTTTACTTGGAGAGCCTAGGGTTTAGTAACTGTTTTGGTAATCTGTCTGGCCTCATTCAGTGCTTGGTGTGCAAATGCTCCCAGATCTCTCTTCTCCTCGCACCACTTTTAAATTATACCATTTAGCTTGTCTTTTAAATTTTGTTTGGAAGAATGAATTACCTCATTTTTTTTCCTAACTGCTGATGCTGCATATGACATTTAAGTTTCTAAAGGTAAGCTTGCAATATGTCTATTTTAGTCCCTAATAGTTGTGTGTGCCATCTTTTGTCCTAAAAGACGTTGGGTATTTCAGAAGGTCGTTCAAGAAACTTGCCTTCCGAATTCAAGGAATAACGCCAACGTGGGAGTCCTATCTACGGAACAAATGCATCGAATAATCCAGGACGAGATGGCTGTCTGCTCTGATGCTGCTGGAAGGTATCCAAGCAATTACAATGCCTGGTCCCATCGCATCTGGATCCTTCAGCATGTGGCAAAGTGCAATCTTAAGGTATGCCCCTTACTTCTGGCTACAAACTACAAAGTGTTTACGGCACAGAAATATACAGTGTTTGTTTGTTTGGCTCAGCTGGTCTGTAATGGGCTTTGTGCTGCACGTGACCCTCCTCCCACTCTTCTTCTATCTCACCTCTATCAACATGTTCTTCGACATTATTTCTTTTTTCTCCTCCCTAGTGTTTACCCAGCTTCTGGTTAAATCCATCAATGCTTTCTTATTTCTTCACTCGCTACCTGTGGCAGTGACTTCCAAATTCGCACCATTTTCTTGTTAAATGCATTTTTCCTGAATTCTGTGCTGGATTTGGGTGATGATCTTGTCTCGACTTAAAAACATGCTGGAAATACTCAGCAAATGTGGAGATAGAAACAAGATTACTTTCTCAGATTAATTATATTTCATCAGACCTTAACAATCACAACTTGAAAGTATTATATCTCTCTCTCTCTCTCTCTCTGTCTCTCTGTCTCTCTCTCTCTCTCTCTCTCTCTGTCTCTCTCTCTCTCCTTTCTCTCCTGTCTTTTCTTTCCTCTCTTGTCCATGTCTCTGTCTTTTCTTTCCTCTCTTGTGTCTGTCTGTCTGTCTGTCTGTCTCTCTCTCTCTTTCCCCCAACCCACAGATACTGCCAGGCCACCTAACTACTTCCAGCATTGTCTGTTTTTATTTTAGATTTGTATATTTTACTTTAGGATCTTGTTTCGATTGCTTGTTCTTGGACTTTCACGACTGGGAAATGTCTTTTCTATATCTACCCTGTCACACCCATTTTCAAATATTAGGTCATTCCTCTTCTGCAGAATAGCGAGTTGGTCTTTGACGCTCGTTTCACCTTTTTGTTTTCTCCTCAGATCCTCCTTGATGAATTGTCCAACACCAAGTACTGGGTGTCCACTCACGTCTCTGACCATAGCGGTTTCCATTATCGCCAGTTCCTGCTGAAGTCTGTGGCGGGCAGTTCTAGAAATGCAGCCATTGCAAACACTGGGGTTCTTGTGAGGAAGTCCTCCAGTAAAGACCTTTGTGACGGTCTTTCCATGCACGCGAAGGAAGAGGGTGCATTGGCAGAGACGCACACCGTAGACGTGCCCCTCATGATTGAAGAGGAAATGGAGCTTTGCACTGACCTTATTGAGTCATACCCAGGCCACGAAGCTCTGTGGTGTCACAGGTAAACTGACTAACTGCTGTGAATAAGCCTTTTTTGTTTAGTTTCACAGTTTTGCTCTTCCAGAGGTTATGTTATTCTTTGACCTCCTGCTGGAAGAGAGGGGAACACCGGTGAGAACAGTGGGCTCAATCCTGTTTCCAGTTTATTTGGTCTTTTCATTGGCTGTGTGTTTTTAGGTGAGCACCATGGTTCAGGGCAAAATGACAATATCACTATCCTGGGGCATCTTGAAGCACTTTACAGTCACTGAAGTACTTTCAAAGTGTGGTCACTGTTACAATGGAGGAAGCTCGGACCAATTTGTACATAACCACCTCCCAAAAACAGCAAAGTGATAATGATCAAATAATCTTCCAAGTTTACACTGAAGTATTCCCCAGGACCCCCTGGGAGAACTTCCTGGCTATTCGGTCCCTGCAGTTTAATACAGGAGATAAATACAAAGTTGCTGGAAAAGCCCAGCAGGTCTGGCAGCATCTGTGAAGGAGAAAACAGAGTTAACGTTTCGGGTCTGGTGACCTTTCCTCAGAAATTTTAACTCTGTTTTCTCCTTCTCAGATGCTGCCAGACTTGCTGAGCTTTTCCAGCAACTTTGTTTTTGTTCCTGATTTACAGCATCCGCAGTTCTTTCAGTTTTTAATGCAGGACATCCCTGGCTAAGTGCCTCTCTGTAAAAACACTGCCCCAGTCAGGAACTGGTCTATCTCCCTCTTGAAGTCAGGTAACATATTCCACAGCGACCTGCTTTCTCTGAGGAAAAGAAGGACTCCATCCCAATACATCTTTAAACTTGGGAATACACTGGGAGGGTATAAAAGGTCTGAGACTCCACTTTTAATGTGAATCACTTCAAGCATGACACACTGATGGAAACTGCCCCTTGAAACTGAATAGCCTAATACTAACTTGCAAATGTTAATGCTTGTATACAATAGTTAGCTGGAATAAATTTTATTGGATCTTTCAGAATCACGTTACCAATATCTAGCTTCCTATGTTATGGGGCTTAATAAATATTTGGCACATTGGGTTATATGACCCTGACAGAAGACCCACATCAATCGGGGCTCTGTCTCTGAAGTGGGACAACTTCCCAACTCTGAGGCCCACTGTTCAACAGGGCACAACCTCGGAGCAAACAGTCCCGGTGTAATTCTGCAGGAGCGCTGCACTGTTGGATCTGCCGTCTTTCAGGTGAGCCATTTAAAATAAAGGCTCTGTCTTCTCTCCCGGGTGGACATGAGGGGTCCTGTTGTGAAGAACAGAGGAGTTCCACCATGTTTGTGGCCAAAATGTATGCCTCAATTGTCGCTGTAGTTATTATCACATTTGGCTGAGTAGGTTTGAGGGGCTGAATGGCCTGTTCATGTGCTGTCTGTGTGAGCCATACACCGATCGCCCACTGCCTCCTGTATTTATGGTAGCTGCATCTTGAAAGAACTTCACGTGGCGATGAAGAGCTGTTGAATGTCCTGAGGGCTGTGAAAGGTGCAACAGCAATGCAAGTTTCTTTGATAACAAGGTGTAGAGCTGGATGAACACAGCAGGCCAAGCAGCATCAGAGGAGCAGGAAGGCTGACGTTTTGGGCCTAGACCCTTCAGAAATGCTCATAAATGGGTCTTTGTCTGATTGGCAGGATATGATGAGAGGAGGGTGTAGACACAAAACGTCAGCTTTCCTGCTCCTCTGATGCTGCTTGGCCTGCTGTGTT